ATCGTGTTTATATGAAGTTGAGACTAAGAGTTCAATTTTCGGTCGAATTGATTGAATGTCAACTTATAGTAACAACTACGGAGTAACTAGTTAATTAAGCACCAAGGTTCAAGTTTCAAAAACCCATAGTGTAATCGATCTAAGCAAGAGATAAACTGTATGGTTAAAGAATTATATATGTGATATTTGCATTGTATGACTACATAAATACTACGGAGTACTATATAGTAGTAATATACAAATGAAAAATTAAAATTTAATCATAATAAAAACCAAAAATGTGCATTATTTAATTTGTTTACCTTGCACCCTAAAGAGCAATGAATATATGGTTCTTGAAGACTTCTATCACATGAAGTGCAATAATTTCCAGCTCCTTTGAACTGCCTATTTTGAGGCCTTTTCTTGATAAAGATTACTTTTGCGCTGTTGATAGTATAAGCCTAGTGAAATTATAAGCTTGTTAGTTCAATTATTAAAAAAAATGATGAGAATTATGGATAAAAAGGCGAGAGAATTATGTTAGAAACGAACCTGAACATTAGAACAGTCGATAACTTTCTCAAGATCTTCCAATCTAATGACATCGTGGTAGACATATCGACGAATTTGAATGAGACGATGAAAGCGATGCATGGTTAAGCAATGAGGGCAAAGACTAGTGCAACAATCTAAGCATAATACGTTCTTCTCATTCTTCTTTGCTGTCTCATGAGCTGGGCAATTCACAAAGAAGTTTTGGGTGTATAGTGCATCCAACCATGCTGGCTTTCCATAACCCTAAAACATTTTTATTTGTCAATTCACATAATTCACTTAATTATACATCATATGTAACAACTTTTTAGCTAATCGAATTTTGGATAATTCTAAACATGAACACATATATATTTAATTTCACCCAAAATAAATTTTAAAAAATCATTATTATTAGTTTAGCAATTATGAATTCTAAGCTAACCAAAATTCAGAATTTCAATTATCTAAAACATGAAGAAGAAGAAAAAAAACTTAAATCCACAATAAATTAGCAAGCTTATGAACTTGGACCTAGCTAAGCAAAATTCAAGATAAGCATGAAAAAAATTCTTAATTATACATATTATTCTTTTAGTTAGGTTGCAGAATAGTATTGGGTGTTTGTTATTGTTGTATTTACTCGAAAGTAATCAAAAATTCAAAATTGTAATTCACAAATATTAAAAAATAAATAAATAAAATAAGAATAAATAACCAAAAGAAGAGAAATCAAAAACCCACCATGATGATCACAAGCAAGAATTGAACCAATATGAATTAGGAGATCCCCTCAAGCTTCAATTTTAAGAAATTGAGCTAAATTATATGTATAAAAAGTGGGATATTATGAATATAAAATATAATATAGTAAGAAGAAGAGTAGAAATGGAAGAATTGAAGAATGAAGTGACAAATAAGGGGGAGAAAGAGGGGGTTTTTAGGGCATGAAGAAAGTGAGTATTTATGGAAAATCACAAGAGAGAAAATGGGGGATAGATAGATAGATATATTTAAAATTCCTAGGGAGGTGAGACAACATATTGTCAAGAAGAAAGAGTATGTAAATTGTAAATTAATTATGTGATTATATATTTATTTATTTATTTATATGTAATTAAATAAAAATATAAACAAATGAAAATGTAAGAGATATGAGGAGAACGTGCGAGCTGTTTCCGTGTCTCCCATTCACTACTCTACCTTTAAAAATAAGGCCCAAAATTATGTGCTTGCTCATCACCTTGGCAAAAGAGCTCTTCTTTTTTATTTAAAACTTGATTAATTTGTTATTTATAAGTAAATAAATATATAATTAATAATGTATTTATATATATGTATGTATCTCTCTCTTCTTCTTGAAATAGTAAAAATAAGTTTGTCCCCATTAATTTAATTTCTATCTGTCTTATATTTTTGATTCCATCTTCTAAGCTGCAGTGACTACTTATAAATTACTAGTCATGAGTACTATGGGTTGTACTACTCGTAGTAGTATACTATACTAGTAGTGTTAGTAGTAGAGTAGTGTTTTTGGAAGTCGATCACTCTTTTTATTTTTCTTGTTTGTTTGTCTTGGTCTTGGAGATTGATGAGTGGTAAGTAAAAGACACCAAATTCAATTCAAGTAGTTGTGAACGTGAATTACTATATGAATAAGACACTTATTAGTACAAATCCTAGTGCTAACTCTTAGTATTATATACTTGTGCTTGCTGGCTATACAAATTTTGTTCTTTATCACTTGCACAATGCTTATTTTACGTTAGGAATTTTCCTCGTGAAAAGGGCTTTCTAATGTTTAATTTTTCTTATTTTTTCAAATAAAAAAATAAATTAAAAAAAAAAAAAGAACTTGCACCCTAATATTATTTTTGCATAACATTTAAGAAAAAGAAATATTTGCATGACATAATGTATTAATCTATAAATGTATAATGACTAGCTAGCGTTATCTATGATCCAACCTTGTTTAATCTTGATAATAGAATTTTATTTGATCCAAATTAAGACAAAATTGGTTGGTGCAGTGCGAGTCATATTAATTGGTGAGAAAGTTGATTATCTCTAAAGATAACTTTATTACTACGTAGTAATTTTATTTGGTTGAATTTGTATTTGATTTTGTTGTCAATTACTTTCATGTGGAAGTATTCAATATTAGGGTTATATAATACTTTTTGGTTGATTCAATTTGCATGAGGTTAATATCAAATTGAATTATATATATTAGATCATGTTGAATTCTATTAGATCATGTAGGTCTTCTTTAGTAATTTTCATTTCTTTTTAATGCAAAGGATTTCGATTAATCAATTGGTACATGATATATGTACGGGATTCGAATTTAGAACATAAACACCAAAATACATACTCGGTCATACATTTCACGTTAGGTTTGATCTATAATCCATCCCACTGTATGATTATTATTATTAATCTTCTTCTAAACGTAGTCTTTTTCTTTCTTATTTTCCTTCACTTGTTTCTAACTAATTGGAATCCTTGTTCAAAATTGAATTTTATTAAATTTTATGAAATACATTTCAAGTTATTCTAGTGATTAATATTTACACCGTATTTTACTTAGATATCATTTTCTTAAATTTTAACCGAGAAAGTAGTATTTATTCTACACTCTATATCCCTTATTGAAATAGACAAGGAATATATCTTTATAACTCAAAATTGGAAATGTGAACAAATAACAAACTAAGCTATAAAACAAGAAAAAGGTTCTACTGCAAAAAATGGGAAATTCAGTAATCAGAAATATTCAGAAAAATCCAAAATAAAAAAAAGTGAAGGTCTTCTTTGTAGGCATTGTAGCCTTGAATGTTTTACGGAGTAGTAGAACGAAGATATTTGCCACCGCCAATAGTACTGTTGATTGTTCAACGCAGTAAGATCTATTGGTCAATGTGACACTCAATATTGGCCACACAATATATATATATTTTTACCCCCACTTGTAACTTATTATAACACATTTAATTCTACTACTTTAGTAATTAATTTCACTTATCCCCTTCTCTAGTATGTTGTATATATACATGCTTGTATGATTTACACCAGTAGCATATATAGCATATGGTTGCGAATCATTTATTCCAATTACAACTTTACAAGTTGCCTAAATAAACAGGAATTACAACCTAACTGATCGTTACACCTCGTTGGGTGAGGTTTCTTTTCTATTGCCTTGCTCTTTTCCTTTGTTCGGATTTTAAGTACTCCATATAACATTGTTATATTCGAATTTGTTGTCGTATTTGCGACTATGAATTAATAGCACTGAGTTGAACTCAACAATAAATCTCGCCTACATCATTAATAAGTAATATTTAACAATTATTTTTTTAAATTGATCTAACAATGAGTGATTCATTCTAAAGTCAAACATTTTTTCATTAAGCAAGTCAAATCATTAATATTATTTGGACTTGCTTTAAATTAGATTTTTAATGAATGCTTGCAATCTGCCAATAGTCATAAATTTATAATTCCAGAAGTATTTGGCCGCTTAGCCAAACATTTTTTGGCATGTGCTATTATTTAAAATTCAGAAGTTGTAAATAAGGTTGTTTGAAGCCAAGTAAAAATAATACATTGACCAATCTTTATAAAGTTGAGAACAATAACAATAGTCTCCAACAATGACATATACGAGGAAATCCTGGTGTGATTCCTAGGGAAATCAAACATGACAACATTTAACTAACCACTCCACTAATCTCTTTTCCTCATAATTATGCGGCTCTTTTTATGATAAATTTAAAATTTTCAGACAATTCCAACTCATTTTAGCACTAATTACTCAGCATTTTCAGTTTTATTAAACTTTTTGCGTCCAATTTTAAGGAATTCGTCTACCCCTTTCCTTAATTTTTCCTCTTATTATATTATTTGACTTTTTTTTTTTTTTTTTTTTTTTAATTTACATATCAATATCATAAGTTGTTTGATAAAAAGAATTTGAAACACTACTTATACTAATTTACTCGAGGCTTTAGCATCTTAGAGATATATGGGAATATTTACTAAAAACAATTACTCGTAGTATTAAAATCATAAGTTATCAGCTTTGTTTAATGCTTAAAAATGCCCATAAACACATAAATGATGATTGATAAAGCAATTCATGTCAAATTGTCAATGAAGAATAGAATGGCTTAAGCTGTCGAACAGTCATAGCGTTTGCATAGTAAAATTTGAAATTCAAATTCTAGAGCTCTTTATACTCTACATACAATGTTTAACACAATGTATTAGTGAAAATCAAAAGACTACGATGAATTATCATCATACCCTTCATTCTTATCGCTTGAATTACACTTGTTAAAAATCTTGTCTGAATTTATGAGTTCTCATATTTAGTATATATTTGTCGGAACTTATTTGAAAGTGATATTTAGTTTCTTTATTTAGTTTTTCCATGATAAAAAAGAATATACATATAAAAGTCTAGTAGAGAAAATGACCAATTGGGTAATTTGATAATGATTATTATATACATTTCTCAATATTTTGACAGGAATTGATTATTATATACTAGCATCAGCATATCACTATGTCGATGTAATGACTTAATGAAAGAGCTTTTCTGCATCACTCCATGCTCACTGCCATACAATGCTGTTCCTGTTACAAGAAAAAGTTGTTATGATCGATCTTAGCTCTTAAGCTTTTCAGACATGTTTCAGTATTACATAAATACTTCGTAGAGAAGAAAATGGGGGGTCTGAAATCAATGTTGGCATAGGCATTTCATAATTGCTATTTCGAGTTTTTACTATAACAGAATTTGCTACAGATTAAGTACTATTAATTCCAGACAAAGGAGAGGTACTCGAAACTAAATCAGGTTTTACAAAGATGTTATCTTCGTCATCCGGATTTAGTTGACATAATACAGAGTATTAGTCTGAATAACACTATTAACGTGACAACAATTCAGAAAAGAGGAAACAGGCAATCCTTGATTAAAATAACATGGTGGAAGGTCAAACTAACTCACAACTTGAACAATATAAACCTAGCAAGGAGTTGTAACAGGGAACATATATCAATATTCAGTCAAATATTACCACAATTCAGTCAACTGATATATACCATCCATATTTCTCAATGAAAATTGCTTATCAATTGTTATTTTATTTGAAAATCGTTTCATATCCTTAATATTCAATGATTGAGATTTATGACATGACAACTAATTTCCCACGAGAACACAATAGTAGTATGTCAATGTTGTTATGTTGTATTGGGACCTAGTAAATCGTAAATAGGAGAGCATATTAATATTAATATATCAATCTAAATATTGGACAATGCAAAAGATAATGGCTTTTTGTATTGAGACCAAGGAATCACAACCTTCTCTACCTCGTTCCCAAAAAGAAAGATATAAATTGACCCCTTGGAGCCAACCTCCCCAAGATTCTCACCAAAGGACAATGATATTGTAATCAATCAAATGATGTGAGGATTCTAATTAACCTATGTGTTGGAGTTACCATTTCTCCACATCACAAGAAACCTAATCCCACAAAAACAGTGTACTACAACAAGGGAAAACTACAAAGAAATTCAGTTATGGAGGGTGTAACTTGGATAATATATGAGAGGGACTCGGCTATTAGCGTTTAAACACTTAAAACAAGTATTTTACAAGTATTGAGGTAAGATAATGAGTCCGAGTAACATAGGGCATAGGCCACAAAAAAAGCGAGTACTAAAGATTACTTCAAAGTAGTCTATGCCTAAGAAGGGGCCTTCTCCTGGAAGCAAAGGTAAAAAGGCAAGGGTGTAGTGTAACAAAGTATATAACAATCAACAGCAGCATAATAAATATTTGAAAAGGAGGGCATGAATACAGAGAGAAGTACACGTGTGTGTACCAAATATATGCCATGAAATCTAGCTTTAAACACTTTCTAGTCTTGTAGCCTAAAAAGCCAAGGAAGGTATAAATCCACTTATAAATATCTCTGAATCTTAATTAAGTGCAAAAGCAAATAAAAGCCTTATCAAAGAAAACTCTGTTTTTGTAGCAAAAGGCCATTTCTAATATTCACTAGTGAGGCAGAGGGTGTAGCAGAAGAGTTGCCAACCCCACGTGCCATCAAAAGCCGAAAGATAGAGAGAAGCTATTATTGCATGGATGAACCTCACGTGCAAGGGATCCTATGTCCTCCTGACTTACTTCTCTAAACACATTTATAAAATACCATATATATTATATTTTATACTAATCTATTCTTAAGCTTCTCTAATGAGAGTGGTCCTTGGACTCTTCAAATATTCCTTATATTTACTTCATTCATTATATATATTATAATATGGTTTTTGTTTCTACTACGTCATTATTTTAATTTGGTCAATGGTCAAAGATCCATATAACCTAAAGTATACACCTTTAAGGTGGGGGAAGACTCATGATGATGATGATGATTATCATCATGATGGTATTTTAGGATGCTCTAAAGAATGTGGATTATGAAATTGGAGTATCAACTACCTAGTATCAAGGTTTGACACAGTTGGGTTTAGCCAGGTTTTTCTGACTGTCGGGCTAGCTGTGAGATGGATTTGTACTCAGATTCAATGCTCGAAAAGGGTGAAGGGTTATGGTTAGGACTTCAAACTGTTGGACCATGGCCTGAGATAGGCGGGTTGGTCGATATTAACAGCTTTAAAAAAACCCTCTTCCCTGACTGTTAAGGCAGGAATCTCTTAGGCAGCCAATATTTTGGTTGGAGCTATCTAGTATAAATTCTACTAGATGCTAATTTGACATAGAGATGTGTCTTTGAATAACAAATTTTTTCACTTCGTTGGACTGCTGAATGTAAGGTGGAGTATATCAAAACCTCACATCTGTATCCACTTCTAGGGCAGGATTCGGTGTCCAAAATATTGGACCTTGGCATTACCAGTATTCGGCACTTGAATTCAAGTCAGGGTAACACAGGATATAACTAACAAACTCTAAGCCTTATTTTTAAATATAAATAATCCTGTCACAGGGTATTATGAATCTGAACAATCCATATAATATAATCAGATGGATTGTAGTATGGTTTCCTTTAACAAATACTCAAGTGCCAACTTAAGGACTCAAAAGCTTGTAGAGAGAGAAGCAATCCCAGTAAATACGGATGAATATGATTAAACCGAAGTGCCAGTAATTATGTAATTGAGGGTGATGATGGAAATGGAGAGTAATAAAGACGGTGCTAATGCAAGAATAAAATACATGATAGAAAGAATAACATAAGGTATCCTAGTATGGGATGCAGGAGGGGATCTCTATGCAACTCTTTCTGCCTCTCTCTCCCCTCAAATTTCAGACTCTACTTTGTTCTGTTAAGAAATGGTTTTTTTTTTTTGGAAAAAACGTTTGCTTATAGTCCTACACATGTGCTTTCCTAAATTTACCAGTTTACATGCCACTCTTTTGTCCTTGAAACGATCTCACATGATAGAGCCTTTCACTGGGTCAGTAATCAGCTGTCCTTAAGCTTAGTCAATGAGTTTTTATCTTTTCAAAAAGAGATCAAGAGTTTACTGTACTAATTATGTTCTCTAATGACATCTTATTAATAAAATATTTGAGGATGTTCAATCCCACTTGACATGGCTTGATTCAGTTCATCGTATGGTAGTAATCATCTTTCTAGTAGAAATCCACATCTTAGTTTCACAATCCTCACTCTAAAGTACTAATGTCCATGCCCACCCAATTGGCTCTGGAGTGACAGCCCCTGTGAGGGGGATTCCGAACCCAGTCCAACTTGGAAGTTGGAGCTTGAAATGATAAAATTTGAACACCTAATCTCAAGGTTGGAAGATGAGAGCTCCACCTTGACTCATTGAGCTCTCGCATAACTCTCTACACCATCAATCAAGTTAATTATCAAATATAACAACCTCCATTTGTTACTCAAACATAATAAAAGGAATAGGATCAATTACACTGTGTGTGGTAATTATTTTGACATTTGTAGATTCCCCAAAGAATGTGTAAAATTAATAACCTTGAAAACACATATAGAATGCCATATCAAACCAAGGTGTGATGTTTCTTTGCCACCCGTATCTGAATGTGACTAAATTTGGTTATTCAAATACTCAATATCCTAATTTTACCAAACTAGCTATTGATAAGTTGATGTTCGCAACATCAATTTAGATCCCTAAACTAGGACGTATGTGAATTAGGTAACACCATGTGAGTATATTAAGATTGCAAACAAGCTTAGGCGCTCAAAAGGGGGTGTGGGAAACCCAGAATTGGAAAATAAGAATAAGCAGCATATACCTCAAGAGAGAGTGCACAATCTAATCTAACTAAGAAAAGAAAAGGAACAATATTTTATGACATCAGGGATCTTTATGTCAGCATCTGAACCCTTGGAAGGTGCCTCATCTCTGACATATTAACCTTTGAGGGGTATAAATTTGAAAGCTAGAATCTAAGACCTGATAGCAACCCTATATATTCTTATTCATATTAGGGACATCTCTTGGTAAGTTGGTATGCCTACATTTACTCAGAAATGGCACAAACAAGTTCTAATAGCTTCTTCAGTGCAGTTTAAAAGCATTAATTTAGTCACCTCTTCTGAACTCACTGGAACCATTATCATAACTCAGTGACTCAGTCACCTAAATGTATGGTTGAATTATCCATAACCTAGTCATTATCAACCCCAAATTAAGGTTAGATTGTTAAAATACTATTTTAATGACACAAATACAACTTACTGCAATGATGGCTTAAAGTAGATAGTCTTTTCAAAATCTGTCGTAATATAATCTCTAAACATCAAATAAATTTAAAATCAAAGGACTAATAAAGCTTCACATACCGTTGAGTTCAAGAATGACAAAAATCTCAGGGTTTCCGTGCAGAGAACATAATAAATGATTGTTGAACCTTGCTTGAGTAGTCAACAAGGCCACAAGATTTACATAAATCCTCAATTTCCTCCTCTATTAGGTAGCTGTAGGGCTGAGCAATCCTCTGAAAAATTTAAATAAGGGCGAGGCAATGCACAAAAAATTAGTGAGTTACAATTTAGAAAGCACATAATACAGGACATGCAAACCAAATTTGTAATAACATTCATTTTTTTTTTTCTCTATTTAATTTCTGAACATGAAAACAATTTCATTTAATGCCAATATATTATATTTTTGAAAAGAAGGAAAGAAAAGGCGTTATATGTCAGTTTTACATAGGGTTAGCAGTTTAGATTTGAAAGTTAATACTTCTTGAATTGCTTTAGCAGTTCTTATAAGAAGGGAATAGCTTTTTTAAAGATGACATCAGCTGGCCCTGAAACATGCATCTAGAGTACAATGTTATCCATTTTGTTCATACTATATGATTCTAAAGCCAGGAAATCCCTCAGTGGCTCAGAATACTCATATAGATGCCATCCAAACAAACTACAAACGCATAGAAATGCCGATTTCTTTATTTGTCCTCAAGGCATGGAGAAAGCCTAAGTAAAGCTGTTGGATGAGCAAGTTCACTATCAGCAGATTTGGCATTGTACTATTCAGTACAAAGCAGCAAAATATAAGAAACGTTCATCGCAAGAAAATTGTTGAGAGTGTTTACAAGAACAAAGGAGGCAAACACAAACTGCATAGGTACAAGTCGTACAACCAAAAGTTGCAATACAAACAGCAAAACTGATACCTCTCTAAGAGGCCTTATTAGTGGAGATGTTGAAGATGTGTATCTGAGAAAAGTAGTTCCCACAAAGATCCCTCCACTCCGCAATGTACGGGCAATGTCAGCAATCTGATATGCATACCAGTACCATCACTTAGGGCAGATAACTTATGTCAAAAATAACAGACTGATATAATTGAAGCATTTTGTCCACAGAAAAAGCACTGAAGAAAACAGGTGATAATAAGTCTTCTCTTATAACGAACAAAGTTCTCTTTGTTGGAAATTGTTCAACTCCTTAATTATGCTACATTTCAATTTAAATTGAAGACCTCTACTCCTAGCACACAATGGTATGAAGACTACTTCCAATTATCAACATTTTCAAACTAATATCCTGATAAATGTTATTATGCTCCAATCCCCTTGATCAAACTAATAACCTATATGAATTAACTCATCCGCTAGCAAGATGAAATGAGAGACTTCTGTTCCAAGTGAAATAACATAGGAAATGCTTGATCTCGTATAGCAAATATTCTAGCATTAAAAAACCTAGTCTATCTCTGAACCTCTCACATAGTACAGAGAGCGCGACGCGGGAATACATACATTTGAGGTGTTATTTGCATTGAAATCATCTTAACAAGGGAATTCCTAAAAAGGATCTGCAGAATTCAATACTGGCACTTGCATGATGGAAAACTTACAGCATTTGAAGGAGATGGCCAGCAATGTAAGGCAGCGCCAGCATGAATGGCATCAATTGAAGCTGGTGGAAATGGTAGCCTAGCAACATCTGCCCTCACAAGAGCAAGATTGCTGCAAAGTTACTTGTGGCTTACAATAAGCAAAGCAGACATGGATCATCAAAAATCAAAAGTTATACCAAGACAAAAGAGCACTATAAAGAAATAGGAAGCTTTACTTAGATAAAGTGGGATCCTCCTTCTTAGTGAAATCATAACATTGGCGAAGCATATTTTCAGAGAAGTCAAGAGCAATCACTCCAGAATAGGTGCCACACTTAGCAAATTTTCGAGAGAACAGCCCACTTCCACAGCTAACATCAACTAGTAGGCCACCTTCGACGGGTTTAAAGTACTCCTGAGCCATTTTAAACTGCATATGACACAGGACTAGATCAGTAGATTATTATATAGACTAGGTAATGAATACACAAAAAAACAGGAAAAAAAAAAGCCTCTAATAGTCCTGTATCGACTAATGAATAATTCTGTATTGTAACATTTCCACTGATTCGCTCTCTAATTTAAAAGCATAGGCTTTGGAGATGGGTTTCATGTTCTATTTTTCTAAAGAGGTACAAGAATATGGACTAACCTCTTCCTCTGGACCTGGAAAACCACTTCGGTTAAAATTCTGGCGCCATCCCCGTTCATACAGGAAAGACACAAATGGACTCCTGTTTTATTGGCAAGTTGGGTTAAGAATTAACTCACAGAACTAACAAAGTTGCTAGCTAGATGATTAAGGCAAAAGTAGCAAACTACAGACAGGTAAGTAAGATTACTCTAAGCAATATATGACAAAATTCAACAAAGATTATATTAGTTATAATGGCAGGTTAAATTAAATCAATGAAAGAGATGCAGAAGAGAGCTGTGGAACATCACAGCTTCAGCATAAAAGACTTGAATTTTGAGTTTCCATACTATCAGAAGTGATTGATTATGATTATTTTATAAAAGGAGTAATTTGGCAGCAATTTAAGGTTCCACACCTAATATACAATACAATTCATAGGTAGAACATCACCAAAAGGAAAATAGACATGGACATATACCGGAATAGTTCCGTGCTGGTGGGTTTAATTTCTGCATACTCCTCTGAGCCTGCAGTCACTGTAAGATCCAAGTAAATGTTTTTACTTGAGTATGACTTGTTGCAAGTTTTACATTTAAAGCCAGACCTATAAATTGCTTCCCTGAAATTCATAGTACAACATGAGTAAAAGGTCTCACTCAACTAACATGAAACAATGGTCAGCGCACATACTTACAAGTTCAGGCCTGGGGGACCTCTCCTTATCAAAGGTTCATAACATATTGGACAAGCCAATAAATCTTTTTGTACAGCAGAGGTTTTTGAAGTTGTTTCCTGCAATTTCAAACAGAAATTATGATTCTTGTACAGCAACTCAGTAAGCAAGCTTTAGTTTCCAGCACCATAAGGATAAGGGGATCATAGATGACATGCTTCCCAAAACTAAAGTACACAACATTCATCACAGTGGCAAGCCTAAAGTTAAGAGTTGCTCTCTCAGGTGATAAAGCCATGGACCCACATGGTTCTCAACAACACAATTTCACATGGTAAGATAAGCTGAAACAGCCATATCAAAATCCAAATGCAACTTCCCAATTTCCACTAATCACTGTCAATGTTATGAGGCTATGAGCCATAAACCACAAACCTAAAATCATATGAATACATAAACCCCCTTTATCAGCAAGTACTTCTTCCAACCACAAATTAGAGCAATGGAGTAATGAAGTGGGTTTGAAAATGATTCAACTTTTACAAAAGATCTCCTTTGTTGATTCTTTGTCATATCTTTTGTTAAAATCACATTTAGTCAAAAAATTAAAACCGAGGGAGTAATATCATAATTACAATTTAGCATATCTAGCCGAATTAGTATTTTTGATGAATAGGATGTTTGATGTTTGACATATAGCATACTTAAGACTTAACTAACATATGACCTAATAAGCTAATTCCCAAACATGCCAATTCAAAATCAGTCCCTTTAGTCACCAATGAATACTTGGGGGATAAAACTATGTACATCACACTCTCTCCGTCCTAATTTGTATGCACCATTTTCCATATCGAAATGTCCTTTAATGTATGTCCGTCTTCTGAACGGGCATATAGTCCCATCATGTTTCTCTCGCATCTACTATATATGACTCCACTACTTTTCTCTCACAAATTCACGGTTCACCCAACAAATTGTTCAAAACTGTTCCAAACACAAATGGTGCAAGCATTGCATCAAAAAGAAAACAAATGGTGCAAGCAAATAACTGAATTGCCAAATTTCGATATAATTAACCAAACAAATATCCAAAATTCTTAACTTTTATCACATGAACATGTATTATTTGCACAATTTCTAAAATCAACAAGAAAAAAAAAAAATCCCACAAAATTAAAACTTTCATCTCTTTTTCCAAAAAATAGATGAATAATTCCATATCCAAGTAATACGCAATTGCATAATCATGATTACAATGGGTAAACAAGAATAAAAATTAACAATAATAGCACAAAATAAAAGAGGTAAAGAAAAGGGTGAGTGAAAAGACCGGTAAGTCAAGGGCAATTGCTGAACTAGCTTGAATCGAAAGGCGGGAACGGGAACTGAAGAAAGAGGAAGAGGGAGGTGATTGCCGGAATTGGGGAAATCGAGGCCGAAGATTACTTGGACTTAAAAATGATAATGAACAAGCCATGCTATGCTAAATTGCTAATTGCTACCCCTCTCACATAAACAAACTGTGTTCTTCACTCTTCTTTCTTTTGAATTGTGAATTCGTGAGAGTAAGTTTCTGTGGAAATAACGACCGCAACGAATACTATTTTCAGCCCTTTACTTCTACTGTTCTACATGTCCCATTACTACGGAATAAGGCCGGTTGTGTTTAACTTATTTTCAATCAATTTGGACACAAAATAAGCCACGCAAGGCGTTTTGAGAAACCTAATATTGACATCTAATTTGCTTAGTCCAAAATTTTAAAAAGTTGCTCCTTATAATACCCAAAATCAAACCATTTTCGGAGATTTTGATTCATATTGGCCTATTGAGGTCATTTAATATATTGTTTGGATCCATATACGGCCACCAAGTCTTGTGGTAATTATACCATACTATTGTCGTTAAATTTAGGAACTTAAGCCTTTTTTAAGATTAGGTGAACCCTGATCAAAGCTCATCACTTCAACCCTCACGATTTTTTAGTCTAGGTTTTTGCGGGCCAGGTACTTGTAAGTAGGGGGTAAGGTAAAGGGATTCCTACCTCCAAGTACTCTTACTTAGTAAGATTCGAATCCTACCCTCAAAAATCTAAGGTAAATCTCTTACCAAGTGATCCAAGGCTTGCCGGATAAGTTTAGTAGCTTAAGTGCTTATCCTTCCCAATTCCCATTGTGTCCTCACATAGTTTAGAAGAGGAAAAAAGGGGAAAAGGATAGGGGATAAAGTAAAAGCAATGGACCAACCATTTTGTAGGCACCAAAGGAACGAAGAAAACCCATGGTTGCCTACGCAACACCCGGAATTCCAGTCCATCCATCTTCCATTGTTGGACAAACTCCTCCAAAACAAACGAATAATTCATTATGCGTACCAAACACTACTACTTCATTTCCTTTTCTCTCCAATTTACCAAGCAGTATTATTAGAAGCAGCACACAACACCATGTTATACCCAAAGTAGCCTTTAATCCACAAGGCAACTATGACCTCTCCCTCCTTGACGACGATGACCTTCAAGGTAATTAATACGGATTAAATTAGTATGATTATTGGTTCCCGATAGAGGGTGTAATAATTGATTCACACGCATGTAACTTGTATTTTTTTTTTTTTTTTTTTTTTTTTAAACAACGGCGGTACGTTCAGCTAAAGCTCCAGAGCCAATGCCCCCAAAAGAAGGAAGATATGAAGTGATGATAGACACTGATGTCATTCGACGCCTAGACTTATCCCCTTTCCAATCTGCCACTAACATTTCCTCTCCTTCTTCGGGTAATTCTTTCGTTTCTTATCAACATTTTTGTATGCATTTGTGACTTAATTGAGTTTACTTTATTATCTATGTAATCTTGGGGTTCAATTTTTCCAGGTCATATAGCCCTTGATGGTAATATAGTTACAAAATTAATTCGTACTAAATATTTAAGTTGAGAATTTACGACAAAAATTATGTTCTGTATCATTTGATAGACATTTCATATTTAGTATCAATTCTATGAAGTATTTAGTCAAGGCTATGTATAGATTAGTGTATTAATTTGAATTCTATTCGTTTCGTTGAACACGTATATGTAGTATTTTACATGTATCGTCTGTTGTGTGCAATTGTGCCACCCAAGCAAGTGTATACTACTAGGAGTAGATAGGAGATTAATTAATTAGTAGTTGTATAATTGTAGTTGACCCCGAGGAGTATTTGGAACGTACAATAGGATTCACCATAAACTACAAAAGGGAGGATCCGTATGATCAACGAGAACTGTCTGAATTCCCGGAGATAAGACTTTGGTTTGTGAGGCTTGATGCCACTTATCCTTGGCTTCCCCTTTTGCTTGATTGGCGCGCCGGAGAACTTGCTCGTTATGCTGCTATGCTTGTTCCTCACCAGGTACACTAACTATGACACGTCTCATCTATCGTCTTCTTTGACCCTTGTGTGTAGGCCTTGTTAGTTACGTTATTGATAACTTAACACTATAAATTTAATTTGTAGATGAGTATGAGAATGGGTGTGGTGTTCAACCCAGAGGCATTGGAATTGTTTATTATGAAGAAGGTGTTTATAATATACCCTTGGTTAATGCAACAAGGTTTTTCTACTTCAAAGGCTAGATTGAAGTCCAAGGACATGGCTCGAATGCTTGGTTTCGGAATTGGGGACGAGTTGTTTGATTTGATCAATCAATATCCCATTTCTTCACTTGATTAGACTGCATTTAGCCATTTATACACTTCTTATGTATACATTATCTCCAACTTAAATGATTTAAAGATGTATAAAAGTCATATTTGAGATGGAAAATTAATAATGGATACTGAGTGCTAAATATGTAACGTATATCAAATGATACGAATCATCATATATGTCATACGATTCAATTTTTTTTAAAGGTAAAAAATGAAAACATTAGGAAACCTCCTCACGAGAGGAATTCCTAATGCATCATAGAATTATAATATATGTCACTAATTATCAACTTAAATGCTTAGTACGTATAAATTGGAGAGAAAAAATTATCTATGTTGTAATTATTTTATCCTTTACAAAGAATTACAATCAAAGGCTACATAACGTAGAGAAAAGGTAATTATTGAAATAATAAAGAGTAATCATGGTGTTACAACGCAATTATTTTGTTTAATTGTGAATAGTGTCTCGACTTAACTTAATTGTTTGCAAATGAATCTTAAAGATAGGAGTAGTAGAAAAGCTTAGCTTCATTGGTACGATTTTGATTTCTATTACGGTATTTATTGTAAAAATAATTAGTTAGTAATAACTTTGTCAACCAAATATTGATATTTTCACAATATAGTTCATTTCTTTTAAATTACATTAGAAATTTTGAAGTGATTGACTGAGATCGTTTGCTATTGAGTTTGAAGACACGCTTGGATTAAACGTAGGAATTATGGGTCATTGGGTCAGACATCCCATCAGTTGAGCCAAGCCCACTCTTTATCGTATCACAATATATCTTTGTAACCAAAAAATAAATTTGGCGTTGGTTCTTGATGTGAATCGAGTCCCCTTCCTTATAACTATTATTTTTCTTTATTTAGGTACTCTCTTGGTTTTACCTTACTCTTAAAGTAGGGGTTTTACAAGTGAGTTTTTAATAATGTTTTTATTATTTTCTTAGTAGTAGTTATGGGGCCTTGGGCTTCCAAAGTTGTGTTAATTAATTAGTGGGCTCTCTTGGTTCATTAATTAATTATTAGGGCTTTTTATTTAGTTTGCTTGCAGGGCAAGTAGGATAGATTTATTTTTCCTATATATACTAGTTGTATGTCAATTATTTTAGGAGGATGTTTTATGAATTATAATTTGAGATTATTGAGCTTTTGCTTGAAGAGAACTTTGTTAAGGTTCAAACTAGTTGTTAACTAGGGTTTTGGGATCGTTACTCCTAAAATCAAACTTAGAAGTCGTTGCCTTCTAAGACTATCTTTCAAATTTCCACCATTAAAATCACTCAAATCCTTCCATCAAATATAAACCGTCAAAATACACATCAAATTGGTATCAAGAGCTTAGGTTTGTGAGCCCTCACGACTTACACGATCTTGGTAATTAGAACAATTTTTGGTTGCTTTTCAAGTATTACGGGTGATTTGCAATTAGATTACGGTAGTGTACTTTGTCTTCGAATCTGGAAGTAAGCATTACGTAGTACTAGAGGTACGTAATTCTAGAGTTTTAGTTGGTGAATTTGTCTCTTAGTGCATATTAATTTCTTGATTTACTTGCTGCAAATCATCAAGTTGGTGGAGATAGTGCAACTAATACTTTTGTGCATTCATATTTCGGTACACAGATACACACAAATAAATTCTAGGTATTGATGAATTATTTAAAAAAAAAAAAAAAAGAATCCCCTGCTAATACAAAATTAGAGTGTTGCGCGAGAGTTGTTATTCCTTGTCCAAATTATTATAAAGGTTTTGTTAGACTAATTTGAGGTTTTTGTCTTAAAATACGGAGGAATAATTTGCTGAAAATTATTTCGACATCATGAGTACTTTAACAAAGGAAGATCTTGATATTATGCTTGTTGATATGATGAGAAATTTTAATGCGAGTCTTGAACGAATGAATGAGAAAATTGAGAAGAGTACACAAGAAATTGCTCAAACCAATCAAAGGGTTGAAACTTTGTCTACTCAAGTGATTGGGGAAGGAAGAATAATCAACAACGAACAACCTAGGGGAATCATGAGAAATTTTCCAATTGACAATGATCGAGATTTGAAGTTGTTGGAACTTCCGGAATTTACAGGTGATGGGGATGCCGAAGACTTTTTAGATTGGGTTCGTCAGATGGAAAAGGTCTTTGATTATAAAGGTTTTGATGAGCAAAAAGCCTACAAGGTTGCAAACCTAAAACTGACGAGATATGCTTCTCTATGGTTTGAGAATTTACGTGCCAAGAGATTGAGAGAAGATGAGCCACGAATTAATACTTGGAACGAGTTGAAGAGACAATTAAGGAAACGGTTCCTACCACGGGAATTTATCCAAGATCAATTCTTGAAGTTGAATCATCTTGAACAAAAGAATCTTAGTGTCGCTGAATACACTAAAGAGTTTGAGAAATTGTGCATGCTTTGTGATTTGCAGGAAAAAGAGGAGATGAAGATTGGACGATACATAAAAGGGTTAACACCTTCGATTTCTCACAAGGTGGAAACATCAAATTATGTGTTCTTTGATGATGTCTTAAGGTTGGCAGAGAGATTTGAGAAACAGGAGAAAGAAAAGAAAATTTCTTATTTCAAGGAGAGGAAGTCATTCTTTAATGGTGAGGGTTCGAATATCAACTCTAACAATTCAAACAATGAAGGGAAGATGATTGTTGTTACTCCCGAACAAGCTGCATTGGCGAAAAAAGTTTGTTTCAAGTGTCAAGGCATGGGACACATTGCTAGAGATTGTGGTAACAAAGTGACGGTATCCAAGAAGGAACATAGAATGTTGTTGGCTTATCTTGACCATGAAGAGAAAGAGAAGGAGAGTACATGTTTGCTCAATACAGAGGAAGAGTTTGATTTTGAAGAGTTTGAGGGTCAAGAAAAGATTACTCCTGAACCTGAACATCACCATATCGGTATCTTAAGGAGAGTTTTGCATGCTAATTTTGTTCCTCCTACTACACATGAGCAAAGGGAAAATTTGTTCCATACTATATGCAAAGTGGGTGATAGGAGTTGCTCGTTGATTATAGATACGGGATCGTGCACCAATGTTGCATCTACTAAGTTGGTTGACACTATGAATCTTTCTACTAGGGACCATCCTACTCCTTACAAGCTTAATTGGTTACATGATGGAGATGGACTACAAGTTAAAAGGCAAGCTTTGGTGAACTTTTCCATGGGTTCATATTCTGATAGTGTATGGTGTGATATTTTACCTATGACTGCTTGTTCTATACTCTTGGGTCGTCCTTGGCAATATGATCGAGGGGTGTTATTTAATGGTGTTACAAATGTTTATTCAGTGAAGGTTGGGGATAAGAGAGTCCAATTACATCCTTTACCCCCTAAGGCGCCACCTATTCAAGCTCCTGCTAGAGAGTTGTTGATTATGCCTAAACTTAACAAAAAGGAAAGAAGGGCTAATATGTTGTCATTGAGAAACCAACACCCTTTTGAGATTGGTGAGTATGTTTTCTTATCTTTAAATGCTCAAAAAATCTTTAATAATTCTAGAGGTAAGAATGAACCATTAGAGGAAGGACCTTTCAAGATTGTGCATAGGGAGAATTATGATACTTTTCAAGTACTTCTTGGAGCGGGAATTTGCGCTACTATGAGGGCTAGTGACTTGGTACCTTGTCTTCCGAACGAAACTTGAGGGCAAGTTGTTTTTTAAGAGGGAGGGAATGATGTGAATCGAGTCCCCTTCCTTATAACTATTATTTTTCTTTATTTAGGTACTCTCTTGGTTTTACCTTACTCTTAAAGTAGGGGTTTTACAAGTGAGTTTTTAATAATGTTTTTATTATTTTCTTAGTAGTAGTTATGGGGCCTTGGGCTTCCAAAGTTGTGTTAATTAATTAGTGGGCTCTCTTGGTTCATTCGTTGCCTTCTAAGACTATCTTTCAAATTTCCACCATTAAAATCACTCAAATCCTTCCATCAAATATAAACCGTCAAAATACACATCAGTTCTACCAAAAACTAAAACAAAAATCACCTAAAGATGGGCTGTAATAATACCATCCACTTGATCCTCACATTCCTCTAGTAAAGTTGGGCATAAGTCAGGTTGGCACGAGAGCCTCTTTAGCCATAACAATTACATAAGATTGATCCAATTGGGCAATATCTCGTCGTAAGCCTATAGCTACAGCAACACAAATGGTGCGTCGTACATGGGATCATATTAGAAATTTGGTAAGATTTCTACGCAAACATGATGGGCATGTCAGCTCTTTTAAATCAATCAACAAAATATTTAAACATCATTAAGGAGGTTTGCTACCGCGGCATAATACATGGGTTAAACTATGCATGGTATTCGTTTATGATAGATTGGCACAACCTAACACAATACAACTTTTCTTTGATCCATTACCAACACGACCTAGTTGGGCAAAAGGCTCACTGACAAGGCATGTGGGTCCCAGTTCATGCCCAAGTTACTCTATAAACAATTAGGCCTCACAGGGACGTTTAAAATGTGAGAATGGGAGTTTGGGGATTAAAAATATGGGAATGAGGTTGGAAATTAATTGGTAGGAATACATGAAAATATGTCAATACCTTGTTTGGATAGTAGGTGGGAATATATAGGGAATAAATAATAATTTTACACAAATACCCTTACTAATATTTCTTTTCATTGTTTTCATTAATGGCAAAAATGTCATTTTATACTTATTCTCATTCTATCCATTTATTACCTACCCTCCCTAGGTAAATAAAATAATGGGAATTCATCCTCCAAATATTCTCATTCCCAAACCTCTTTTTAATTCCATTTCCATCAAACAAATAATACTTTTTATCATCAATTGGGATTAAAACTCCCAATCCCACCCTGATCAATTCCCACATACCTAACATCCCTCAATTGGACAATCCCTCACTAGTCACCCACCCACATGACCATGTTTTTCTTTCTCTTTGTTTTATCTTTTTTTTTTTTTTTTTTTTTTAAGGGAGCTAATAAGGAGTATCAACAAAAAAAACTAAAAGAGGGATTACATCATGATTTGATTAAACAAAACACAAATCACTTTCTATCCATAGGTGGTCAAGCCAAATAACTTATACTTGTACTACGTATTTTGTTAGAACAAAATTTTAAGCTATTTGCTTGAATTACCTTACTTGTCTTTTCTCTCAGAAATAAAAATCTTACTTGTCTTTTACGATTTAT